CAGAGTTTACCTTCCTTTGAATTTGAGATTCAGAACTCTGTTATGAAAAAGGCTAATTATAATACATATAATATTAAAATACAGAAAAGGGTAGTTCTGTTATTTTCACATGCACGTTGTGTTTATAGAAAAAAAATCTCAGGATTTTTTTTTTTGTGTGTGTAGCACTAAGGATCAGTCCAGGGTTGTTCTACCATTGAGCCACATCCCCAGACCTCTTCATTATTTTTGAGACAGGATCTGCCTCCATTGCCCAGGCTGGCCTTGAACTTGCAATCTTCCTGCCTCAGCCTCCCCACGAGCTGGGATTTCAGATGTGCGCCACTGCACCCCAGCTTAGAATCTTTTTTTTTTTTTTCTGTCTTTTGGAGACAGGGTCTCACTATGCAGTTCAGGCTGGCCTTGAACTCACAGTGATCCTCCTGCCTCGGTCTCCTGAGTGCTGGGATTACAGGCAGGCACCATCACACCCAGCTAGAATCTTTTCAATAAAAAGCAGACTGTCAATAATGGTTTTTAAACTGGGCGTGGTGGCGCACGCCTGTAATCCCAGCACTCAGGAGGCTGAGGAAGGAGGATCGTCGTGAGTTAGAGACCAGCCAGGGCTACAGAGTGAGCTCAAGGCCAGACTGAACTGTATAGTGAGACCCTGTTCTCAAAAAGACAAAAAAAAAAAAAAAAAAAAAGTTTTTAACATAAGTAACTTAAAAATACTATTTATCTCTTTTCTTTCCAGATTCCCTTGGGGAAACAAAAAAAGAGCAGAAATAATAGACTTATGTAACCAGATTCACAATCCTTGCAATATGAGGAGGAACATTACCAAGCCTTGTGCCACACACTGGACAAGATATAGTTCCTGCTGTAACACAGGGGTCGGCAAACTTTCTGTCTATACAGCCATATCTGCCATTATAACACAAAACCATACACAGACTGTATGTAAATGAGTGAAGTGGGTGAATTTGGCCCACAGGCCTAGTTTGGTGATTTCCATCCAGAAATCCAAGTCTTGAAAGAACTGATGACAGGAGTTCAACAGAGGTTGGAACAGGCATGGTGGAACACTTATATAATCCCAGCATTCTGGGAGGCTGAGGCAGGAGGATTGTAAAATTGAGCCTGGCCTGGGCAATTGAGCAAGTTAGCAAAATCTTGTCTCCAAAAAAAAAAAAAAAAAAAGGGTGAAGAAGAGGAGTTGGTTTCTTCCAGAGGCAGTGGTTGGTGGTGGGGTAGTGATGTTAAAGAACCTTCCAGTACAAGGCATGCACTGTGGCAGGAACAGAGGGCTGATTTGGGAAGAGGGAGAATGGTTGATGAGTCAGAGGTGAAAGCATAAAGACCTTTGTAGGGTAAATTGAAGATTCTGGACTCTATCCGAAAGTTGCCATGAAGCCACTGCAGGGTACTGGACAGGGAAGTGATTTACTGTACTTGGTAATTTAACAAATACTTATTTAATGAATACCTATGATATGCTAGGTATGTGTAAATAAAGGTCCCTACCTTGTACAAGACAAGGATTCCTGTATGCTGGTAGAGGAGATAAAACATAAGTCAACCTTGCTGTAAGTACTAAGAAAAAAAAAAATCTCTGAGGTGAGTTTAGTTATGCTGAGATGTCAAGAACAGATAAAAAACAGCATACATATCTCAAACTCCGCATACAATCAGTGATATTCTAAAACCAATGTGATTAAAGCAGGCATGGTAAGATGGTTGAATGAGAGGGAGGTGGGGTCTGCTCAAGAGGGCATGAAAGCTAAGGAAAGCCACTCAAGTTTTCAGTAGGGAAATGATGACTTGATAAGATTCTGCTACATGGAAATAGGTTGGAGGGAGATATAAGTGGAAACAAATACTAGGACACTATGCAAAAGATAATGGTGGTTCAGAACATAGTGGTAGTACTGAAGATGAAAAACAGATTTGAAGCTGGGCGTGGTGCTATAATCCCAGCACTCTTGGGAGGCTGAGGCAGGAGGATCATTGTGAGTTTGGGACAAGCCTGGGCTACAAAGTAAGCTCAAGTGGGGGCTGGGGATTTAGCTCAGTGGCAAAAGCGCCTGCCTGGCATGCGCAAGGTCGAGAGTTCGGTTCCCGGTACCGGAGAAAAACCAAAAAAACAAAAAACAAAAAACAAAAAACAAAAGGAAAGTAAGCTCAAGGGCAGCCTGAACTGCCTAGTAAGACCTTGTCTCGAAAAAATCCCGAAACAACAACAAAACAGATTTTGAATATCTTGGAGGTAAAAGTCACAGGTCTTATAGAAGAATTAAAGATGTTTCTTAGCGGTCTGGCTTTGTGGGTTTTTTTTTGTTGTTGTTGTTTTTGGTACTGGGAATTGAACTCAGGACCTTGCACTTGCCAGGCAGGTGCTATGCTACTGAGCTAAACCCCAGCCCAACAGGTCTGGCTTTGGTAACCAAGTGGATGGGAGTACTACTTAGTGAGATGAAGAACAACAGGTTTGGGATGATGGGAAAATAAAAATTTTCTTTTGATTATGTTAGCTTTGGAGTGTCTAAGACAGTCTAATTAAATAGGCATTCTGACATATAATTCTGAAACCAAGGGAGGAGGCCAGGTTAGAGATTTAATCTCAGAAGTTGCTAGCTTTCAGATGGTAAATGAGGTTCTGGGACTGGATCACCTAAAGGAAGCATGCAGAGATCTCAGGACTAAACCCTGAGAAAAACCCGATTTACTTACTTTGCTTTTTTTTTTTTTTTAGAAATTAGGTAGAGAGGACAAATGGCTAGCAGAGAAGACTGAGAAGAAACAGCCAGGTAAATGGACCTGGAGAAAATCCGAGTGCAGTATCAGTGAAACTAGGAGAAGTTTCAAGAAAGGAGTAACTGTGTCAAATAGTCCAGGAAGATGAGAACAAAGTATCTACTGGAAGAAATCATTGGTGATCCTGACAAAGAGTAATTCCAATGGATTGTCAGAGAGAGGACACTAGAATAATCTGAACAATGAATAAAAGGTGAGAAAAATGAACTGGCACAGATGGAAATCTGGTTATGAAATTTAAAAAATTACAATGGTAATTGGAGAGGCACATGAGGCATGCTACAAAATAATTTGCATGCTGATGGGAACAGTGTGTGCCTGTTTGTGTTGTTTTGTTGCAGTACTGGGAATTGAATTCAGGGCCTTGTGCACGCTAGGCAAGTGCTCTACCACTGAGCCACATCCCCAGCCCTGGGAACACATTTTCATGGAGACAGGATTTGGTGGTTGGTTGTAATGGGAAATAACGGAGAGAAAGGAAACTAATGCTATCTGCAGTATAGACAGTGGTACTATTTATTGAGATCAAGAACACAGAAGCAAGGGCAAATTAATTTTCTTGCAGAGACCATGTTTCTATAAGAAGCAAGCTTTCTTTTTTTGTGGAGACCTCTGCAGACTAGGCCAGATGTAAAATATGGCCTAGTATCTCTAAACTTTCCGATGTGATTAATCTCTTGATGAGATTAAAACCTCTCAGACAGTGATGATACTATGTTAATCTAATCTAGTAGCCACATAAGCCAAATGAATAAAAATGAGTTTGTACTAGCGCAATGGATTTGAAATTCTCAGTTGACAGAGCAGCAGTCAAGCTTTTGCAATTAAAACATTGAAGACTGAGGCCAGGGGTGGGGATGCGTACCTGTCCCTGCTACTGGGAAGGTCAAGCTCAGGAGTCTGAGAGAAGCCTTGGTAACACAGCCACAACCTCATTTCAAAAACCAAACAACGCTGACAAAAAAAATTCTGAAGCAGAATTACGCTTTTTTTCTGAAGAAATGAGTTAAATTCAATACTGTTCGCACTGTGACATAACTTAATACTCCCTTGGTCCTTGTGACACTACATTTAATTTTCATGGAAGTGATTTTAGAAGCTTAAGCCTCCCCTTAAAGGGAAATTAGTATCAGTTCTTGTGACAATTCAGGGAAATGAACTGCTCCGGCTATCTCAACAGAGTGCTAGGCGAAAAAGACAGAAACTACAAGAAGATAAAGTTTAGACTTAGTCCATTCTGATGTTTATGGTAGGCGTTTGGAAAATGTCTGAAAAACGATCTACGGAAAACGGACGGGCTTCAGGTGCTTGTAAAAGATCCTCTCATTGTCAAAAAGAGACGAAGGTTGCAACCATCTCCAAAAAGTTCTAACTGTATTTTTCAACAATACTGGAAGCGCTATAATGTAGCATAGCCCTCCTCCCCAGCCTGATAACTGAATTGCTGGAAGCTAGGTAGGGTTCATATCCCCAGAACAAACAATTCGATCACCTGACTGCAGGTCAGAAGCCCTAGATTCTTTCCACTCCTGGTCCTTTCGCGTGGCCCACTTTTCAAAAAGCTCCGAAAGACGGAACCCCACGAAGCCTGTTGATTCAACAGGCCACCCAATTCACAGGTTCCAGGTGCTGCTGTGCTTGGAAAAGCCTTGAAACTAAGAGCAACTACCCTGCGTTTCTTCCTCCTCCCCGCTAAGAGAGTAGGAAAGGCCGGCGGGGGGCCCCTTCTTCCTGCAGCCGGCTCCCTAATGCCTCTTCTCTTATGGGGCCAGGCCTAGGAGTCCGGCTCCCCACCGGATCCATACGAGAAACACACCCTTCAGCCTGAACTTTACCTGCTCGAGGCCCGCCGCTTCTCCGGTACGCAGTCCCAACCGAGGAAAATGGAGTCGTCGAACCGAGACTGGGAAATGATAGTACGGACCCACCGCACGGCCCCTTTACCGCGACCGCCGCCACTGCTGCGTCAACGTGCTACGTCACTTCCGGCTCCCTGTCATTGGGAGTGGGCGAGCCACTGCGTGCATCCTCCTTGGTTTTCTTGGACGTTTTTGTCTGAAGAGTGTAGAAGCCCCAAGAAAGCGATTTAGGAAAGCAGCTGTCACATAGGCCTCGAAACGCAGAGAGGAGATCAAAGACAACCTGGCCGAGAGGGCTCCCCAGGCCGCTCTAGCCAAAGGAACCATAAAGATCAGATAGGGGGTTTCTTCACTTCCTTTTTTCAGTGGTTCCGCCTCACTTCCGGTTCCGGGGAGGGGCTAAATTTTCTTCGAAGATTAGGGTGTCTGAGGTCCAGCTAGGATGGCTGTGGTACCTCTGTTGTTGTTTGGGGGTTTATGGAATGCTGTGGGAGCATCCAATCTGGCTGTCGTTACTTGTGGTTCTGTGCTGAAGCTACTCAACACGCGCCATAATGTCCGACTTCACTCACACGACGTGCGCTATGGGTCAGGTACTGTTGGGTACCGGGATTGAGTGGGCTGGAAAGGCCTGGTAGACTCTGGAGGGGGCGGGGCCTTGGAAGGTTAGGGGTACCCTGGGGAGGTTTCTGAGGTCCAGAGGAGGTGAGGTGGAGAACTGCGCTGTTTCAAGGTAACTTAGTCGTAATATCTGCTTCTATATGGTGAGCTACGTGCCACGCATGTTACATATGTACTTTCCCCCAGTTTCAGACATTCCAGCGAGATATTATTGTTACTTTCATTCCTTACAGATGAAGGAACAAACTCAGAGAAATTAAATCGCTTACTTAAATCCTTGTAAACTAGTGAATAACAGACAGGGTTGGAGTCAAATCTATCCAGATACAAAACTTGCTTTCAGCTTCTCTGGGCTGTCTCCATTCAGTGCGGGAGAGAGAGACATGTAGACATTTACAGTAATGCTGTACCTCTTAAGTCTCAAATTCCAGGTCCTCCCTCTTTGATTACAACCCTGTTTTCTAGCTCTTTCGCACCTTACTTATGCTTTTAGCGCCTATCTTTTGGCTCCTTTTTACTCAGTCTTAAATTTCTTTTAACTTTCTTGTAAGGAATTTAAAGCAGTAGCAGGCATTGTGGAGGAAACTGACCATATGAGATCAAAATGCTTAATAATAAATAATTTGTGAGTCCATTCATTCAGCATAGATTTAATGAACATTATTATGTGCCTGATGTTGTTCTAGATATAGATGACATAGTGAATATGTCAAGTCGTAAAAAAGAAAGTGAAAAAGACAAAAGAAAGTAGTTCAAAGGCTGGGGAATTAGCTCAGTGATAGACTGCTTACCCATCATATGCAAGGCTCTGCGTTATGTCCCCAGCGCTGAAAAGTAAAAGAAAAAGAAAAAAAGAACAGTTAGCAAGGTGTGAGGAGCATCTAAGATAACTTGGATGACTGGTGATACTACTAGCTGAGAAAGGAAGTTCTCTCAAATGGGCTGGTCTGTAGTTCGTGATTGAGGGTGGGGAACCTGTTTGACCAGTTAAACTAAGGAAGGAACTGAGTTGTCCTCATTGGGATCTCCTAACAATCCTAGCAACTATTCAAGTGAGCACTATTTTTTTTAATTTGATCTGGCTTTCTAGTTTGGATCTGAATTAGGATGGAGGTAAGAAACTGTAGGTTTCAAATACTCGTGTCGCACATAGGAGGGGTCTGTGAAACAAGAGTTAGATACAGCATTGGACAGATGGTGTTTGTTGTGTGATGAGAGTAGATGAAATGGTTCAGGATGAACTATTTTCAATCTGAAAACTAATTTCTGTGTCAGCTGAAGCACTGGAGATCCTTGTCAAAAATACAAATGCTTTTGTACTGATTCCCAGCAAGTGCCTAAGAACTATTGATGGAAATAGAAACGGGATTCTGGGTAATCCCAAAGTATAAGGATTGGGGTGGGGTAGAAAAAGTGAAAGATGAAATGTAGACTATAATTTAGTGAGCAGGGCTGTGAGGATTGAGAGAACTGTGAGGCAGTAAGGAAGTAAAAGTCCGTTGGTTTGCCTTTTTTTCTTTTCTTTGCCTTTTGGAAAAGACGTAACAAAGTATGCTAAGTGTGGTGGCAGATCCTTGTAATGCTGGCACTGCAGAAGCTCAGGGAAGAGAATCATACATTTCAGACCAATCTAGGCTAGGTAGCAATTTCAAAGCAAGTCTGGACTACACAGTGAGAAACTATTTTTTTTTTTTTTTTAAAGTAGCAAAGTCATGTGCTGAGTGGGAGAAGCCGGTGGAGAGGAACTGATAGGTAGTTACTTTCATCCAGATAACTAGTACCTACACTTAGAAAGTGTTACATGGTAAAGAGGAAGTATCATTAAAAGCTTGTGATCAGGTAGAGCCAAGGAACTAAAGGCAAAGGTGAGCGGAACAGATGAGAGTATTGCAGGAAAGTATCTGGGAATACTATATGGGGTGTTTTCAAAGAATTGGGAAATGAATGGGAGGCCTAAGGAAAAGAATACCCCTGGAGTTTATGAGAGAGTAACCTTTTGGAGGAACTTGACAGAAATTAAGGCAGGAAGAAGAAAGGTAACCTTTGTGGAACTTCAGTGGTTAAGGGTGTTAGTTCCAGTTCAACATCATTGTTGGTAGAACTGTGTACCAGTTATCCTATCACTCAGGATAACTTAGGATAGGATATCCTATCCTATCACTGTAAAATGGGGATAATAATAATGCCTAACTCAGAGAACAGATGCATGTATTAAATAACATGTGAGCAAAGGACTTGGGTTAGTGCCTGAGACCTGATAAATGCTCAGTATAAATTAGTTAGCTATGAATTTATATATATAAATAAAATAATATATAAAAATATATTGTTTATTATTGTAGACAGGGTCTCACTATGTAGCACAGGCTGGCCTTAACCTTGCAATGGCCCTCCTACCTCAGCCTCCCAAGTGCTGGGATTTCAGGCATATGTTACCATGCCTAGCTACGAGGTAGCTACATACTTAGCCCAGTATTTTAACCTGAAGCATTGCACCAGTTAGGGAAGGAGTCACCAAGTTTAGATGACCCAAGAGTATTTTGCTGTTGCTCTTGCTGTTGTTGTTTTGGTACGGGGGATTGAACTCAGGACCTTCACACTGAACTATATATCCTTAGCCTGCCTACTTGCCCATGCCCCACCTTTATTTTTTTGCTTTTTTTTTTTTGAGACAGGGTCTCAGTATGCAGTTCAGGCTGGCCTTGAGCTCACTTTGTAGCCCAGGGTGGTCTAAAACTCGTAACAATCCTCCTGCCTCAGCCTCCCGAGTGCTGGGATTACGAGTGCTGGGATTACGAGTGCTGGGATTACGAGTGCTGGGATTATGAGTGCTAGGATTACAAGGGTGCACCACAATGCCCGGCCTTTCTTGCTATTTTGAAACTGCATCTTACTGAGTTGCCAGATTGCTTGGGTTTAAACTTTTGATCCTCCTGTCTCAGCCTACCCTTAATCCCAGCACCCTTAATCCTGGCATTGTACCCTGAACCAGTCACAGAGTTTAGCTTACAGGGATTACAGGTGTGTGCTGCTAAATTTGGTTAAATAGTTTGCTAATACTGTCTATTGATAGGCTACTTACAGGAGTTTGAGAGTTATATTGGCTGCTTGGATGAAAGTTAAAAAAAAAAGTTGATAACATAAAGTCATCTTACTTTAATTGTATTTTTTGTTTTGTTTTACTTCTGGTACCAGGAATCGAACTCACAGTCTTCCACTTGCCAGACAGGCACTGTGCCGCTGAGCTAAATCCCCAGCCCTTTAATCGTAAAATATGAAAAATTTTCTTGTAATACATAGTAGACACAGAACAATATTACAAACATGTTAAAATTATGTGCTTAACTATCTGATGTATACTAATTTATGTATTTATCTAGTACTCTTTAGAGCTGGCACACTCTTAAATAGATCATATTATAACTAAAACTATGGTGCATGAACACATTTAGTACTTTACATAAGTATTTTTAGGTTGTAGAAGAAAAAAGTATTACCAAGCATTGTTTCTTCCCCATTCTTGTACATCAGTTTTATGACACAGGGCACATTATTGGCCACAGGAAAGAGAAGAGTGAGGTTGTACTCTCTTGGCTTTCTTTTTTTTTTTGACTACAGGCAGTGGGCAGCAGTCAGTGACAGGTGTAACCTCTGTGGATGACAGCAACAGTTATTGGAGGATCCGCGGGAAGACTGCCACGGTGTGTGAAAGAGGAACTCCCGTCAAATGTGGCCAGCCTATCCGGCTGACACATGTCAACACTGGTCGAAACCTTCATAGTCACCATTTCACTTCACCTCTTTCTGGAAACCAGGTGAGGTAGCATCTAATGGATAACTGCATTACTCATTTGGCTTGTTAGTTGATCTCTGGGTTCTTAACTCGTTCTATTCTTTCTTTCTTTTCTGGTGGTGGGAATTGAAACCAGGGCCTTGAACATACTGAATCCATGCTGTAACACTGCAGTGAACCCCCAGCTTCTGGACCACTTAAACTTTCAGGGGATGTAGACCGCTTAGTGTCTTCCTATTGCCTACTCTGCAACAGTTTCCCCTTTAACACCTTACATTAGCAGGGTAATTTTGTTGTAGCTAAAGGAGCAATATTGACAATATTTTTATCAACTAAAGTCCATAATTTATTTTATAGTTTCCTTTACTTTTCACCCTATGTTCTTTTTTTGTCCTAGGGTACTGCATTACATTTAATTGTCTCATTAGTCTCCTGTTGGCTATGACAGTTTGGAGGATTGCTAGTCAGGCTTATTGTTGATGCCCTTCTTTTAGAATCTATCATATTTTTCTTATGATGAGACTTTTTTTTGTTTTTTTTTTGTTTTTTGTTTTTTTGAGACACGGTCTCACTATGCAGTTCAAACTGGCCTTGAGCTCACTTTGTAGCCTAAGCTGGCCTCAAACTCCCAACGATCCTCCTGCCTCAGCCTCCCAAGTGCTGGGATTACAGGCGTGTGCCACCATGCCTGGTGAGACTTTATTTATAAAGATATTTGGGAAAAGCTGGGCGTGGTGGCACACGCCTGTAATCCTAGTACTTGGCAGGCTGAGGCTGGAGGATCGTTGCGAGTTTGAGACCAGCCTGGGCTACAAAGTGAGCTCAAGGCCTGCCTGAACTGCATAGCGAGACCCTGTCTGAAAAAAGACCAAAAAAAAAAAAGATATTTGGGAAGAAAATCACAGAGATAAAGAACTGTTTTCATCACATCCTATCAAGGGTACATCTGTCTACATGATTGGTATTTGCCATTGACCTTGATTACATGGCTAATGATATAATAGATTTACCCTGCTAATGTAAGGTGTAAATGGAAAAACTTAGAGTAGGGGATAGGAGGAAGAAGATACTAAAGGGCTTATATTCCCTGAAAGTTTAGCTAGCTCAAGGCTGGGTGGGATGGTGGAGGGATATCACAGAGGAGAAACAGCCTATGGCAAAGCAGGGCAAGCAGAAAGTAGTAAGCAACAAGTCCAAGGGACAAAACAAGCCTCTTTCTGTCCTTTATATTGTATCCAGGCTACCAGGATTAGAGCAATACCAAACCAATCAGTGAACTATTTTAGTAATCATCTACCCTTAATCCCAGCACCCTTAATCCTGGCATTGTACCCTGAATCAGTCACACACTTTAGATTCAGCCACCACTAAAAAAGCCCCACCTATGACTGCATGAGGCTTTAAGGGGAACCGAGACACAGGACATAACAGAACCCTACCCTCCTTTACTGGAGAGTGGCATTAGAACCAATATTTATATGCTCAACCTAGGTGAGCGTATTGATACTTAGGTGTTATTTCTTTTTCTTTTTCTTTCCTTTTTTTTTTTTTTTTTTAGTTTTTTTCCGGTACCGGGAATTGAACTCATGACCTTGTGCCTGCCAGGCAGGTGCTGTGCCGCTGAGCTAAATCCCCTGCCCCTAGGTGTTACTTCTTTTAGGCTGTCTGTTCTGGCAGAAGGAAGAAATGTTTGTGTGTATACAAACCCATATGTATGTATAAGTATACATATATATATATGCACACGTATCTGTAAGTATTGGTATGTTTAGTCATCTGTATCTTTTTTGTTGTTGTTTTGGTACCAGGAATTAAACTCAGGACCTTGTGATTGCCGGGCAGGTGCTTGTGCCACTGATGCCATCCTCAGCAGCCATCTAGATCTATATTGAGTTAAAAAAGGTTCTGTTTTTTTGAAACAGGGTCTCACTTTGTAGTCCAGACTGGCCTGGAACTCACTATGCAGCCTAGGCTGGCCTCAAACTCAAGGTAGTCCTCCTGCTTCAGCCTCCCGAGTGCTGGGATTACAGGCATGTGCCACCATGGCGAGCTTCAAAATACGTTTTTTATTATATCTTCAAATCTAATCTATCACCACATAGATTATTCTAGTCTTTTTTCTGTATTTATAAATTCGCACTGCAACAATGAGATAGATACCTGACTCCTATCATTCACCATCCATTTACTTGTTTAGTTCCAGTATACAATGTAGTAACATCAGAATTGTTAGCTGGAATTCCTATAGGGTACTTAATTTATTTCATAGAATACTGTGCTTATGCATAGTTTCTTTTGCCTTTAGTTTTACAGACTCCATTTCCAAATGGCTGTTTTTTTGTCATCTAGTTATAGTTATAGCGGGGTGTGGTGGAGCACGCCTGTAATCCCAGCACTCGGGGAGGCTGAGGCAGGAGGCTGAGGCAGGAGGATCACTGTTACGAGTTCAAGGCCTACCTGGGCTACAAAGTGAGTTCAGTACGAGCCTAAAGTGCATAGTGAGACCCTGTCTCAAAAAGACCAAAAGTAAATAAATAAATAAATAAATAAAGTTGTAGTTATAAAATTAGGTTTTTTAGTTGTTGTTATATTTGGCCTTAAGGAGAATGAGATTTAGATGAACAATGGAATATAGAGAAACTTCTATATTTTGTTTAATTTTTACTATATTGCCATCATTTTGTAGACAAAATGAAGGCTCAAAGGACTTACATAAGAAGGGATCAAGCTGAGATTTAAGGTCTACTTGAATCTACAGCGCATTTTTTTTGTACCAGAAATTGAACCCAGGACTTTGTGTTTGCCAGGAAAAATCCCCAACCCCTGGAGCCCATTCTTTTCTTTTTCTTTTTTTGGTACTGGGAATTGAACTCACGACCTTGCACTTGCCAGGCAGGTGCTGTGCTGCTGAGCTATATCCCCCTAGAGCCCATTCCTTTTCCAAGTTTTATCACTAAAAACCAGTTACAGGGAATTAGAGATATAGGTCAGTGAATCTGTGCCTAGCATGCTTGCAGTCCTGTGTTCAATCTACAGTACACACACACATATGCACACATATGGGGTGGGGACAGATATTTTTCTAGAGAGATGAAGGAGGAATATTGAAAGTCAAATAACAAGAATTCGGGCCGGGGATATAGCTCAGTGGCACAAGTGCCTGCCTGGAAAATGCAAGGTCCTGAGTTCAAGTCCTGGTACCAAAAAAAAAAACAACCCAAAAAAAACAAGAATTCTGAAGTATTTTATTGTCATTATTTTTTGTCTAAAGTATTTTAATGGGCCAGCTGCAGTGGTGCCTGTAGTCCCAGCTACCTGGGAGGCTGAGACAAGAGGTTCACTTAAGTCTATACCAGCCTGGAAGCATTGTTAATGTGTATGAATTACCCTTTATTTTTCTTTCTCTGAAATGATAAAAACTTGTCACCAGTTAATACATTATCAATTATTGATCGCTATTTCTTTTTTTTTTTTTTTTAGTTTTGGTTTTTCTCTGGTACCAGGAATCGAACTCACGACCTTGCGCTTGCCAGGCAAGCGCTTTGCCGCTGAGCTAAATCCCCAGCACCCCCATCCCCTATTGATAGCTATTTCAAGGACCTGTCTCTAAAGAAAAAAAAAATTGAAACTAATAGAAAATACAAGGCAAATATAGTATTAACTGTAAACTTATGCCTAGGACCATAATCTTATAGTAATTAACTTTTCCTTTGTGTCTTATTTTCCTGCACTTACTTTGTAACAACATTGGAAAGCCTTTTATTTGTCCTTTATGTGCAGCTTTTCTTTCTTCCCATTGCCTTGCTTACCCTTCAAGCCTGGGCGTCAGCCATGCTAATGTTGCCACATTCTGTGTTTTCCAGGAAGTGAGTGCTTTTGGTGAGGAAGGTGAAGGTGATTATCTGGATGACTGGACAGTGCTCTGTAATGGGCCCTACTGGGTGAGAGATGGTGAGGTGAGGTTTAAACATTCTTTCACCGAAGTACTGCTGTCTGTCACAGGAGAACAATATGGTAGACCCATCAGTGGACAAAAAGAAGTGCATGGCATGGCCCAGCCAAGCCAGAACAACTATTGGAAAGCTATGGAAGGCATCTTCATGAAGCCCAATGAGTTGTTGAAGGCAGAAGCCCACCATGCAGAGCTATGAATCCAGAGGTGCTGAGCCACTGTCACTACACAGTATTCATAGACATCTGTTGCTACTTCACCCACGGATCCCTGCCAGCATCACCTGGGCAGTGGCCATATCCCCATGGAGACGAAGATGCATAATAGAAAGCAGTGGTTGTGTTTGGAAGCTGCAGCTCTTCACCCTGGAATTGGTTGCTCTCCCAAACTTGAGTCAGTTCTGAGTAGAGGACTTGCTGGTGAAGGCATAGATGCTTTTTATTCATACTGATAGAAGAAACTAGAGAAACTTCCCTCCTAGCTGGGAAATTTCTCCTCCTCAGGTGTTTGGCATCATGGAATTTTTTTGTTGTGTTTTTTTTCCAGTACATGTCAGCAATACATAATGATGACATTGGGGCTGGGGATTTAGCTCAGTGGCAAAAGCGCCTGCCTGGCAAGCACAAGGTCGTGAGTTCGGTTCCCGGTACCGGAGAAAAACAAAAAAAAAAAAGAACAACGATGACATTCATTCTGCAGAGTTGGTACATGTACACAGCACACCTTAATTCTTCTTACATCCCTTTCCCCTCCCCTGCCTCCATTTGTTGGCATGGATTGTTAGTGTGATTTCCCCTCTATTTTTCTTTCTCTGAAATGATAAAAATTTATTGTCAGTTGCTATATTGTCACTTATTAATAGCTACTTCATGATATACTTAATCCTCAAATTGTAAAACTTCGGAGATGCTGGAAACCTTCAGCATGGGCCATTTCAGGAGGTTTACTTACATCCACACCTCTTTTTTCTCTCTTCATTTCTTCCCAGGCACCTCTTAAATTTTTGAGTAAGTATGGCCAAAGACACTCAAAAAAATACAGCATAATGAGTAGCTCATGAAATGTTTTACTCTGGATCTGTTGCTGCAGATGAGAAAAAGGAGTAGAGGTGGAAAGAAGAACCAGCGTTAATTAACTGCTAAATACTAGGCATCATGTTGTAGCTGTTACCTCATTTAATCTTCACAGAAATTATAGGGTAGATGTTGGTTTTACCAATGTAGAACAGAACAGCTGAGTATTGCCTGAAGTGGGTTTTTTTTTTTTTTTTTTTCTTTGTAGGGGGCAAGGGCATCGGTAGGGAAGTTAACTAAACTCTTAAAACTAGTAAATAATTTTGGGATAGGAACCTTGCTGTGTCTAACTTGCTCTTTTTACCACGCTCCAATTTTTGTACTTAGCTCTTGGAAGACAGCACCTTTTTTGATTGACAAGATAGGGATATCTTGTTTTGAAAGAGTTATGGGAAAGCCAAGCCTGGTGGCGCATGCCTGTAATCCCAGCACTCAGGAGGCAGAGGTAGGAGGATTGTTGCAAGTTCGAGACCAGCCTGGGCTACAAAGTGAGCTCAAGGCCAACTTGAACTGCATACTGAGACCCTGTCTCAAAGAGACAAAAGAAAAAATAGTTACAGGAGAGGTTTTTTGTTTTTTTGTTTTTGTTTTCCTTTGACTACCTCATTTCATTCTTTCCTGTGCTATTTACTTCCAGAAAATTTGGACCTATGTAATTTTTTTCCCCCTTTCAGTATTGAGTATTGAACTGAGAATCTTAACCTTGAGCTCTTTTTAAAATTTTTAATTTTGAGATAGGATCTTGGTAAGTCATCAAGTTGGGCTTGAACTTAGATTCCTCATTTCCCCAGATTGCTGTGATTATAGGGCTGCACTACCACACTTAGCTTATTCCTGTATCCTCCAAGCATGGTAGTGGAGAACAGAGGTGGCTGTCATCTGCCATCTGCTAGAATTTCAGTGATTAGCAAGGTGGTTTTTTTTTTTTTTTTTTTTTTTTTTTTGAGACAGGGTCTCACTAGGTACTGTAGTTTAAACTGACTGGGAATTCACTATGTAACAGGCTGGCCTTGCACTCTTAGTAAGTCTCCTGCCTCAGCCTCTCAAGTGCTGGAATTACAGGTGTGTGCCACTGTGCCTAGTTAGCAAACTTTTTTATTTTTAAGAACTTCTGGGTTTTTTTTTTTTTTTATTTGTTTTAAGATGTTAATGGTCAACATTTAGAGATACCAGTTCTGTGCCAGTCATGGCCCATGACATTAAGACTTGGTTTCTTTTATGACTTGTAGGGGAGAAGAAAGTGATAGGTATCTTAGCTGAATTAAAAACAGATGGAAGAGGATGAAAGGGAGAATGGAGATGGGTTACAAGGCATCTTTCCTTGACCTGCAGTTTCTGGACCTTCCCTGAGCATTCAGGGGACAAACACTGATAAAGGCTACTGATTTTAAGGCTAACAAATAATGATGTTTGGAAGGTAAGTGTGACCTTGAAACAGCAGTGGTGCCCCTGGCAGATACGTGAAATAACTGATTTAAGGGCTAGATAAGGAAACTAGTTAGAGGAGTAAAAGCAACTCTGAGCAACATGCTGGAGAAAGCTGAACTGGTGCTTTATCTGAGGGAACCACAAAGAAGCTCTGAGTAAAATCTTGAAGGCTGTGTATAGACGCTAGGACACTAGAACAAAGGGACACAACGTTCTCTATAATACTTTTGAAATCCTTAAGATTTCTTTAGTATTGGTAAATTACACTTGAGTCAGTAAATTATTCCGTATTAGTAAATCATTCAGATAGTGACACACAAACTGGGTGTGGTGACGCACACCTGTAATCTCAGTACTCTGTGAGGCTGGGGTAGGAGGATCACAAATTCAACTCCGAGCTGGGCCACTCAGGAACTTAGGAAGACCCTGTCTCAAAAAAAAAAAAAAAAAAAAAAAAGGTCTGGAGATGTATGTAGCTCAGTAGCTGCACTTCTAAAAGATTTACTTTTAAAAACGGCACCCCGGGCTGGGGATTTAGCTCAGCGGCAAAAGCGCCTGCCTGGCAAGCCTAAGGTCGTGAGTTCGGTTCCCGGCACCGGAGGAAAAAAAAAAAAAACCAGAAGAAAAAAAAATAAATAAATAAAAACAGGGCACCCCTAAGTCACTAAATTGCTCAGGCTGGGCCCGAACTTGCAGCGCTCCTGTCTGAGCCAGGTAGAGTGCTGGGACTGCAGGCTTGTGCCACCACCTCCAGCTAACAAAGGGGCTGACTCATAACATTACAGTAATTCTAAGGGACCTTTGTCCAATTTTGCAGAGGAGGAAGCAGGTAAAATTAATCATGACCTGAATATACCTTCAATTTTATTTCATGTAATTGTTTTGCTTCCCAGATAAATTGTTGCTGAAGGACAAGGATAGTCTACTACAGAGTATCCTTCTGCACTTTTGATCCCGGTTAATGCTGTACACATTGTAGAACAAGGTTTTCCAGTGAAGGGTCTGAAAGGTCTACACAATAGGTTAATATGTAGAAATAGACCAGGTCCTTGTTTAGGCAGCAAACGAGTTAAAAACTCATGGGTTTCCCTTGTGGGTGGAATGAGGTGGAATTTTTGAGGTCTTTTACTTACCTCTGGGCTTCCTCATTTTCAAAAAGCCTCTTTGAAGAACACGGAAGTATTATCACTTTTGACCCAAGGGAATAACTTGGGCGGACTTCTCAGTCCAGGCCTTGAGCGGCCAGATTGACTGCCTTAGGAAATCTGTTTTGAAAGTGGAACTCTGAGGCTGAAATGACCCAGGCAGGTCACTGCCAACTTGGGGAGCGGGCTCGGACTCCGACCCCCGCACCTCGACAGTGCAAGGCGCGCCCAGGGCGGCACGCCAGTGTCAGCCAGTTCGCAGCGGGCGCCCGAAGTCCGCCCCCGGCCCTTGCTCCGCAGCCACGCCCTCACTTGGCGCACACG